TGACTGGTCGATACAATGAGTGATCTGTGTAACGGAGAATGAAAATCATATCCATATTTGGACGGTTTCTCCTGTTCCAAAGTACCCGGGTACAATACAATCTACCCATCAAAAAACTTACAAAGGACTCGGGTACATTATGCTATAGCGGTCTGTGTCGCAAGAAAAAAATTTTCAAGCATACACATATTCCGCATTTACAATAAGCAGTTTAAAAATTTTAAAAAACTCATATTTAATTAATAGAGATCTTGTGTTTGTACCAGGGTACTTTGCATAGGGTACTGAAAAAGGTGATACTTTGGTTAGTCCACTACGGTACTTCGGATAAATCTTTAGATTCGTATCTTTGTGTTTGCATATTTAATGTTAATTTATATAATTTTACTGTACATGTGTTGAAAAATATTATTTTGATAGATAAATAAAAAATTATGCGCGTGTCACGACGATTTCTTTTGTCAAGAGAAAAATATCAATAACGAAGTACACGTGTAAAGCAAACATGATCATTTATGTTAAATTAGCCATCAGGGCCAGATTTATTATATAAAAATAAAATAAAGTACAGGATAAAATACCTTGATTTAGCTATTTACAACACTAGTATTTAATAAATACGGTAAGATACGTTAGAATGATATGAAAACCTTCATTTTCAAGGCTTGATCATAGGAATTGTCAGAAAAATTTTTATTTATTACAATGATACCAGTATCATCTGGATGATAACTTTTAATAAAACCTGAAGTACGTTCAATATCGTCAAACGAAAGTAAGAACGAAATTAATGGGGGGACGGAATTAATGAGTTGAAAGGTCGTAATAAAAGGTAAAATTGAAGCGTCTTTGAGGTTTTCGGTATAATGAATCGACGGCAAGATGAAGGATGATTTTTTGAAGATGGGATACGTCGGTAAAGATGATAGGGAATCGAGATGTTCTGGCCGATTTTATTGCTTCACCTGTAAAATTCATAAAGGCGGGCCTTGTAATATTATAACATTAATAACATAAATATATAATAGAAAAAAAATTTGATTAAATAATATTATGCAAACCTATCGAATTGGTCCAATTTTTATACTGAATAATGAGCTTAATTCCTCTAATATCGCAAATTATATGAACTCCACCATCGTTTGATCCCCTGCAATAAAAAAACAAATGAGTATTGTGTCATCGTTATTAACAACCAAAGAGAAACACGCCGGATCGGGGTATTCAACGGTGAGTGCTTTCATTTGGTTAGATTCATCAGTCTCCTCCACGTAAGGATCATCGAGTAACTAAGGAGAAGAACATTCACAGTAAAAAAAAACTGTGGCCACGAAGAGCTTTCAATTCTTCCTTAGATATTTTACACCGACGTGACAGCGTACCTTCAGATACACGATAACTCAACAAACAATCAATGAGAAAACTCACCTTCTATGAATATATTAGTGATTTGAACCGAGAAAAATTCTCTTAATCGGTTAACCGAACCTAATTATTTCATTCAACCGATTACCAACCGG